TCTCACAAGTCACTTGGTCCTCTCCCTCTTAATCTCACAAGTCACTTGGTCCTCTCCCTCTTAATCTCACAAGTCACACTCTGTCACTTGTCCTCTCCCTCTTTGTTAATCTCACAAGTCACTTGGTCCTCTCCCTCTTCGTTAATCTCACAAGTCACTTGGTCCTTTCCCTCACAAGTCACTTGGTCCTCTCCCTCTTAATCTCACAAGTCACTTGGTCCTCTCCCTCTTAATCTCACAAGTCACTTGGTCCTCTCCCTCTTCGTTAATCTCACAAGTCACTTGGCCCTCTCTCTCTCTTCGTTAATCTCACAAGTCACTTGGTCCTCTCCCTCTTGTTAATCTCACAAGTCACTTGGTCCTCTCCCTCTTCGTTAATCTCACAAGTCACTTGGTCCTTTCCCTCACAAGTCACTTGGTCCTCTCCCTCTTAATCTCACAAGTCACTTGGTCCTCTCCCTCTTAATCTCACAAGTCACTTGGTCCTCTCCCTCTTTGTTAATCTCACAAGTCACTTGGTCCTCTCCCTCTTCGTTAATCTCACAAGTCACTTGGTCCTTTCCCTCACAAGTCACTTGGTCCTCTCCCTCTTAATCTCACAAGTCACTTGGTCCTCTCCCTCTTAATCTCACAAGTCACTTGGTCCTCTCCCTGTTCGTTAATCTCACAAGTCACTTGGTCCTTTCCCTCACAAGTCACTTGGTCCTCTCCCTCTTAATCTCACAAGTCACTTGGTCCTCTCCCTCTTAATCTCACAAGTCACTTGGTCCTCTCCCTCTTTGTTAATCTCACAAGTCACTTGGTCCTCTCCCTCTTCGTTAATCTCACAAGTCACTTGGTCCTTTCCCTCACAAGTCACTTGGTCCTCTCCCTCTTAGTCAATCTCACTACAGCACAAATAATGTGATGTTTGATAATATTTTACAGTATTTAAACCTTATTGTTGTCTGTAGACTTCCTCGTCAACATCGTTCTTTATCATAACCCGACGTCTATCAGTAAACAGTGAAATACAATTACAGGGCATGTAAAACGTGCTTCAAATATATATATTCAGTGAATTAAGGATCTAACAGAGATCTCATTTCACAGAAGATAAATAGGAACCAGGTCTTAAGAGCTTTTCATTTAGTTCAGAATTTGGCAAGCTTAAATGAAAATGTTGGTATATGTCAGGGGTCACGTGACATGGGTCATGTGTCGGGGATCAGGGGTCAGGGGTCACGTGTCCGATACGGCATTACAATGATAAATATTGGAATGTAAAAATTGAGAGAATCCATTAGTAACACAGGCCAGCTTTGTAGAAGTTCTAAAAAAACTCACTATATGTTGAAAAACTGAAGTGTTTACTTTCAATCCAAACTTATTTACAGGAACCTGAACGAAACCTGTTATTTACCCAATGAAACAGCTGTTTACATGCAGGTTTGTAGTTTTTAAGAGCCACCTACGTGGAAACAAAGATTTCAGTGAGTCGATCTTCTACGGTCAGTTTTTTTCATTTTAACTTTGGAATCATTCCAAGTACAAATTAAAATGAATTTTCATCTACATCCACTCTATCCAAGGGCGATAGTGTGGTATTTTAGTGGTGATGTGAGGGACAGAATTGGGTGTTGAGAACTCAACAATCTGACTGCAATTCAGCCAGGTTTTATTAATTTCCTAGAAAATCCTAATGCATGGACATGTTCCTCTTTGAGGAAATTCAAACGACGTAATGTGTTAAAATAACGAAAAACAATTAAAAGAAAATAATTTTTTGTTTCGAAACTCTTGTCCTGATGGAAAACAGGTCCTAAACTTTGTGAAGGATAGGAAGAGGTGTGTTGAGATTAAGATTTGTGGAAGAGAATGAGTAAAGATTCGAAACGTTTGTATAGATGTGAAGAAGACCATGACTAACCACAGTAAGATCCTGCCGTGTTGCTAGGTTACCATATAAAATCATCATGATACAGTTTTATCTCTGTTTAAAACAAATCACCGATTAGTACCAGTATTTCATGATAAGGTAGATTTGGTTTTGTTGGCGTTCATGTCTGCTGGGTTTCTCAGTTTTCCTCAAGTCGGTATTGTGTTACGGAGAGTAGGACGCGACTCGTGGGACTATGATGATTTGAAGTAAGATAAATGGCCGTACCTGACAGTACAGAGCGTGATGATTAGGGAATTACTTGACTAGGCAGAAAGTACGAACGATACACAATTCTGGCTATTTGAAATGAATGTTTTGTGCCTTGCACCAATGAATGATTTTTAAGAATATATTTACCCCGAATTACATAAGATCGTTATAGTTTCTATACCATTTCTAAGATATTAGATTTCATCAAGAGTGTGGTGTTGAGTAATTATAAAATTATAATGACGGATTATTCTTGTGGACTATGACCAGGAAGTAATACATCTGTCAGCGGAGTGTAATTGTCTGTAGTAGACTTCTCCACAATTTCAGCAGAAACGAAATAATTCATTTCAGTTCACCACATTCTTCTCCTAAAATAATTTGAAGGGACGAGTACACAGCTTTCACGGAAATTATCTGACATTAATAATTCTCCGAATTAGAAACATCCCCCTTAAGATCTATTAACAGCTTAGCACTTTTCACACATGGCGTTGCAATCTTGTTACGATGTGCGAACACGGGATACTCTGTGAGTACTGCTAGATACTCTATGTGTACTTCTAGATACTCTGTGTGTACTTCTAAATACTCTATGTGTACTTCTAGATACTCTGTGTATACTTCTAGATATTTTGTTTACTTCTAAATACTCTATGTGTACTTCTAGATACTCTGTGTATACTTCTAGATATTTTGTTTACTTCTAGATGCTCTGTGTATATTTATAGATACTCTGTGTGTACTTCTAGATACTCTGTGTGTACTTCTAGATACTCTGTGTGTACTTCTAGATACTCTATGTGTATTTATAGATACTCTGTGTGTACTGCTAGATACTCTGTGTATACTTCTAGATACTCTGTGTGTACTGCTAGATACTCTGTGTGTACTTCTATATACTCTGTGTGTACTTCTAGATACCCTGTGTGTACTTCTAGATACTCTGTGTATACTTCTAAATACTCTATGTGTACTTCTAGATACTCTGTGTGTACTTCTAGATACTCTGTGTGTACTTCTAGATACTCTGTGTACTTCTAGATACTTTGTTTACTTCTAGGTACTTTGTGTACTTCTAGATACTCTATTTACTTCTAGGTACTTTGTGTACTTCTAGATACTGTATTTACTTCTAGATACTTTGTGTACTTCTAGATATTTTGTGTACTTCTAGATACTCTGTGTACTTCTAGATACTCTGTGTGTACTTCTAGATACTCTGTGTATATTTATAGATACTCTGTGTGTACTGCTAGATACTCTGTGTGTACTTCTAGATACTCTGTGTGTACTTCTAGATACTCTATGTGTATTTATAGATACTCTGTGTGTACTGCTAGATACTCTGTGTGTACTTCTATATACTCTGTGTGTACTTCTAGATACTCTGTGTGTACTGCTAGATACTCTGTGTGTACTTCTATATACTCTGTGTGTACTTCTAGATACTCTGTGTGTACTTCTAGATACTCTGTGTGTACTTCTATGGGTAGAATGAGCGGATGTATCGGGTTGAATGGGAAGGTAGTTTTGAGTGAACAATCTTAGATGTCCAATCATCTGACGATCAGTTTGTTTGTTAGTCGAAATATTTAGTGAACGTGGACACGTGTCGCTCACTGTCTGAATTGGAGGCGGCTGTGGACATTAGTATTAAATACCGTCTCTATTACTCGGCTGACGGGACATATGCCTCTTGGACTCAGTTGGTAGAACCAAGAATTATCACGCCGGAGACCTGGGTTCAATTTCTGTCGATTCGAACCCTGAACTCGTGTGCTGTTTGCTGCGATGTCTCCAGCATTCGATTATAAACAGTGTTCGGTCAAAATGTACGGTCAGGGTCGATTTCCTAGTCGGAGGGACACTTGACATGCTTTATTTTGATTGGTTGGTTATGACAAGGAAATAGAAATGTAATTACAATTCAAGACATAAACGATTTTCCGTGGAAATATTGAACAGTCGAGTTAACGATTTAAGACAATAATATTTAACACAATTTGTATCGTATTGTGTTACTCACAAAATCGGACAAAAAAAGCTACATACTATAATTTTACATGGTATCAGAGAGAATACGTCTCTGATGGTATGACCTCGAGGTCAAATACTACAACGGAATGTAGGACAATAAAGTATGAGTTTATACACACTCACTGGGTATGTAAAGAATTAAATATACAGCAAACATTGTGATGTGGTTGTCAATAAATGACAAGAACAGTCTGTTGTCGTGTGTGGTGCTTCCTCAGCCATGTTACATCAACATCCAGAGCGAGGCTCTTACGTAATTAGTCAGGCAAGGCTATACGATAACAAACTCTTAGTAAACATATCATATTACAATTCATATTTTAGTTCGCAAAACCGTATTTTGACGGCCGTTGATGTAAAACGTGTGGAGTCAGTTATAACAGTTCAGTTCCTTATTTAATGTCACTTTTGTAAAGAATCTTCGTACATCACATGCGAATGACAAGTGTAGCAGTTTTTAATTCCATAATATCACCATTAGCCAGTCGGTACTTAACTGCCTGACGAAATAAATTCAAAACTGTGAACTCTTTGTCCTTTTCGCTCAAGACTCACCTGATTGAAACTTCATAATGTTTCGTCAAAATATATAGCAACAGGTAAATCAACCCGAAACAGTAATGAGACAAGGCGTCTCTGCTTATTGGTACACTGTGGTGGATTAATTACGTGAGGTGGTTATTGGTAACTCTGGGTGATTCATGGACAGAACTTATTGAGTATGGCTTGTTAACGCATTGGTTATACATATAACATGTCTTAATTTTACTTGTTTCCAATACGATAAATCAGACTTACTACTTCTACCATTAAAATTTGCTGGAGTTACCTTCCATTATTTCTAATTTTTTTTATGAATCAGCTACTTGACGTTATAGAGTTTGTTATCACCGTTTCCGTAGAAGTCCCAGTTGGATCATTCTCGAATTAGATTCCCCATAGTACCTTATTGTATAGCATCCATTCTTTGACAGTTTTATCTAGTTATTTATTGTTTACATATAAGATGGGACAAAGGCCGCTATATCTCTGTAGGTTAAGCGTTGACCGACTAATCTCACGGGGAGCGTGACTCGACGCTCCCTACCTGTGGCGGATTGTATTACTCGAGAAGCTGAGGAATGGATAGTCTGTTCTGAGATCGCTGTGTCCTTGGACCTTTACCCTAATTAACATGCGACGGGCCTTCCATATGTTGTCCAGTAAGGTAGACACAATATATCACAATGCGGCCTTTGCTCAAAATGATTTTCCATGTTCATAGATTTAAAGACACGGCAAACAAAATTGGGACTGATCAGAAAAAAGAATTGCCGACAGGAGGCCATATTGGATTTCGACAAATTTCAAATGGAGGTTCACGATAGTTGTAAATTGTCTATTTCTCTATTAAATAAAAAATTGCCAACGGACGGTCATCTTGGACAGTTAAAGTTTGTTTCCACTATTTCGTGAGAAGTCCTGGATAAATCAAAATTGATATGTGGGTCGCTCTTGATGTGTTTTCCATTTAAGAACTGAACAGAATATCAAAACGGCTGTGAGACATGCAATCATCATGGATTTGATTTAACGTTTCCAGCGTGTTATCGCTATCACAAGGCAAGTAATCATATTTCATTTATAGGTTTCTTTTGGTTCCCACAGCGTGATTGTGCATCAACCAATTAGAAATCAGGAAATCCAACTATTTGATTTTGACTGACAGTTACAGTTTATTAGGGGTAGTTGTGCGTGGTCAACGATCCTTGACACACGTTTCATTCTCAAAACTTCCCTCGTGAAATGTTGTCGAATAATTAATTCACTTGTCATTGAAACAAATAACTAAGAACAAAGAAGAGAAAGTATTCAAACTAGAAAAAAACTAATACAGACCACACAATGGTAGGCGATCTCACCGGATCTCTTGGCTCACTTCCCATTATTTGGCTACACTGTATTTTTTTTGAAATTGTATTGAAAGACGCTTATTACTTGCATGTATTTCGAGGTCACAGTCTTTCCCGAGTCTTCCTAGACATTGAAGGAGAGTTTTTTTATTCTAGCTTTACCACAATTATCTACAAGGTTCTGTCCCTTTCCTGGAGAATAGTTAGGCCTCCACGTGTTCCAAATCTCTGCGTTCTCTCGCAAGCAGCTTGAGTATTGTTGAGCATTTTCATTGTCCTGCAAAGAATGATTGTGGTTAACGTAAAACACTGGTACTAAATGAATTTTTCCAGTTTTATAACCTCGATGAATATATTATAGTAATTACTTAAAACTACATGATCTCTATGATGGAACAGTTTCTGCATCTTTCTAGGTACTCCTGACACTTAATTGTCATCTTTTACGAATAAGCATACTGTAGATATTTCCCCTACTGGTCCCGACAAGGGGGAAGGTGGAGTGGGGGTCAATCAAGGATTTTTCTTTAAATAGTAATGGCGACATTGGCCTGATCTAAGAACTCTAAAACTCACAATTGTCCAAGACCATTTTTGTGATTTAAAAGTGTGTGTGAAGTTAAATGAAAATTCCTCTAGGAGTGAAGGCGCTTGAGCTGACAATTATTTTCTAAATACAGTAAGGTGACCTTGACATTAATTTGACCGAACAACCAGGAAACTTAAAGTTGTTGTGAACTGCAAAAAGTACAAAGAGCACTTTTGAGATGCACCTTGTAAAACTGTATAGGTGAGAATATTAATATTAATATTTTAAAAAAAATACACCATGTCAATATGTGGAACAAATATTAAACTATACCACATGCTCGAATAATGCTTCCAATAAATGAAAATTGACGTTTTTCCAACACAATATATTTGTCAAAGTTTTCATGACAGAATGAATTATAAATTGTGTCTTTGTTAAAAATATGGTGGATTATGGACTTCACGGAGAGTTTACAACAGCTGATGCTCACAATTACGTACAAGTCATCCCAAACGTCACGATGAATCACCTCAGATATTATTGCCAACCGGACGATACACCTCAGATATAACTGTCGCCAACTTCCTGAATAAATCAGTTGTTTACTCCCAGAATTATGGACAAGTCTTCCTGGACGTCATGGATGAATCACCCCAGATATTGATAACCGGACGAATCAACTCAAATATTCCTGACCGTCCTCTTCCTGAATACAATAATGGTTAATGCCCACAATGATGGACAAGTCTTCCAAGAATTTACGTATTAAGCTAAGGTATTGACGAATGGATAAAAACACCTCGGATATTACTGTTATCATGATCATAAAATGAAGAAGCAACGTACTTTTTTTGTAAATAGTCCAGTTTTTAATCATGGTACAAAGAAAATCAGACTCAGGTTGAAGTTTCAATAATACAAAACAGGTTCAGAGTGTGAATATAAAGATCAAACATCACTCATGATCACATAAACGAAGGTATTCTCACATAATTTTAAATTCAAATTTTCAACATAATCAAACAAGCACATAAGTCATCTGACGACACGTACCCACCGTCAGATGATCTGAAAAAGGACAAACATTGAAAACTTGTTTTTCCAGATCTGGACACCATAAAAGAATTACAAAAAAGGTAGAACTATTTGCTAGCAACCTAACCCATATATCAAATCTTCTAATTCTTCAATCAAAATTTCAACACTGCATGATAGTGATTGACAAAAGAAAAGGCCCAATGGTCTTAACAGTCACCTGAATTCCATAAACATTGTGTTGTGTTACATATATCACATAAATCTCCTTGTTAACATAGTTAACTGTCATCCTATATTATAGATTCAAATAGAGTTTGAATTAGAGAAAAAAATCTATCTAAGCTTCCAACTTAATACCCTCCCCAGGGGAAAATGCAAGGATCATGAAATTCATAATTTGTGTTAAAGCATCTCAAAAACCCTACCATCTATGAAAAGTATTTGATTCTTCCGTACCCGAATGTTTAGGAGATTTTAGAAAATTTGATTCCATTCGACACCGCCCAATCCCCTTTGATCAGAGACATGGTAATTCATTCATTTGGTTAATCGTTGGCCATGCAAATATCTACCAAATTTCATAAAAAATTAGCCGAGGGGTTTTCAAAAAGAAGGAAAAAATGTGAATTGTTTGACGGAAGATGGGCAAAATGCAAGAAATTCTTTACAACTATTCACTATCTAGTATGAAATGCTGTTTGATTAAAGTAATAACTACCCAGCCAATGTTTTATAAACAGGAGGCCCATGGGCCTTAAGTCTTTTGAATATATGGACCTATATATGAAAGAGGACAAATAAGTCTGAAATAAACCGCTCAACTACTCTACAGCTTACAAAGTAGATATTGTTTGGTCATAAAGAATTTTCTTCAAACTTCAAATCATATTCTGTATACATGCTGCTACACAAATGCCATTATTCCGAACCTATTGCTTATTGAAAAAGTTCTCCACAAAATGGTGCTGTACATTATAAATATATTCCAAACACTACTCCAGAATTTCTATACAAAACTGTACAATGATATATATTGACATTGATCCTAGTTTATTGTTGCATGAAGGAATAACAACAGATGCACAAGATGTTAAAAAATTATGATATAAGACAAGTGGTCAAAATTAAGTATCAACAGCCATGTTTGATGCCTGTGTCGGGTTTGACAATGTTAATAAAAAAATTGGTAATAAATGATTTCACATTAAAACTTAGATCAATCCATTGTCTACAAACTGTTCCCCAATGATGAAAAGAACATCTATTTATTACAGGTTTCTGACCCACAATCAGCTTTTCTACAAATTTGAACAGCAGAAATAGCATGAAACAGTTTTTTGTTTCCGACCCGCATTCAGTTTATCCACGATTCTGAAGAGTTTTTTCCCCAATACATCTTAAATTTCTTTCTATTTCAAATTTTCCCACCATTAACCCTGCTTAGGGCAATTGCTTTTCCACATTGATGTGGTGTTGGCTGTATTTTTGTCTCTGTTTTATATTTCTTCTTCTGTTGTCCAACTTTTTCGGGTCCTAGCAGCAGACTTTCGTTTTTTAATAGGCTTCGGTATGTATTCATCATCATATTTTTCGGCGATATCTAACACAGAGAAATCACATGGCTCAATGACACCTACAATGTCATGTGATATCATATCGTGTTAATCTTCATATTCGTGATTTGGTCACGTGATGTATTAACTGACCACAGGTGTTGTAGATCGGGGAACTAAAATCTTGTATTTTCTCTATTTCCGGACCTTCATTCCACCTTTTTTCGCTGACTCGGGATCTTATGTAACTGGATTGTGGACTTTTCTCTAAAATCTACGGAAAGTGTCTGGAAATCGTATATTTTGGATCCTTATATTTTCACTGTGGACAATGTCAGAGGAAGGTCATACCGACGGTCACCCTCCGGTGCACGTGCCTATATCATTCCTACCGGTAAGCGATGTAATTACACCTGAACAAGCTCAAACTTTTTCATCGCCAGTTTCCTGTAATTCTAATATTGCCGGATTCAAACGTCAACAGTGTGATTCTTCTCCAGACATGTCTATCGAATCAGTGTCCAAAAAACTTAATAGTGATCCTGATTCCAGCCCCACAGTCCCCTCTGGTGTATCGTCACCCCCCGGCCAGACAAACGTTATTCTGAACACTTCTGACCCTGAGTTTTTCAATACCCTGGTTCAAGCTCTAGTTGAACCTGTTAGCAAACTAGCGGCGTCAATTATCACTCAAACTTTGTCGTCACAATTCCAGCCCATGGTTGATAAAGTTGTATCTGAGTTGATGAGCACTGACCATGTTAACAGCGTCATTGAAAAGTGTGTGAACTCTAAGGTCTCTAATTTAGATGATCACTTTT